GCAAAACTGATCTATGACGAAAAACTCAGAACACGGTAACTTCCAAGGACCACAAATTCACTGGGAAGGAGCATGAGGGATTTTTCTTTAGTTGATGGCAACACTCTATATCTTGATAGATATTTGGGCTATACACACACAAGTATTTTTCAAATGGTTTACTCAGGATCTGTACATTTCCTTTATGTAAATTTTACCTAAAAAAAAAAACTTTTTGCAGACAACCAGACACTATGGGAGAGAGAGCCAATATAGATCTACTGCCTCAGGACCATAGTACTGGGGGACACCAGACTCAATTGGCACAACACAATACATAAAAGCCTTGCTCCACATCCTACATTGGTGAGTAGCGACTGGGGTCTTAAAAGCTTTCAAGCAGCCATCTAAGACGCAGCTAACGGTCTTCTAGCATTGGAAGTGAAGAAGAACACACACACAAAAAAGGGGGGCATTTAGAACCAGTCAGCCCTAGGACACAACGGCCCTTGAGACCAGAAGAACTAGATGGTGCCCAGACACGAATGCCAACCACGCAGGAAAGGATCACATCTAGAGATCCTGGATAGGGTGGGAGGGAAAACGTGGAATAAAATCCAAAAACTCAATAATGACCAGAATTACTGGTCAGATGAAATCTGGTGAGACTCTCAATATTATAGCCCTGTAATACATTCTGCGCCTGGAATAAAATGCACCCCCACGGGCGGGCTCTCAGCCTAATATTAAACAGGATATACACACAGACCACTCAACCCAGGATGATGCAACCACATACTCTATGGTAATACATCCCTTAGAGCAATAGACCATGGGACACCAGAGAACCAACATTCAAACTGAGGAAATGCAGGACAAACAGGAGTGAGTAAATATGAGGGGCACAGGGAGAGCATTACAGGGTAGGGAGGGGAGGAGACTGGGTTAGGGTTGGACATGGTGAATGAGGAATGAAACTAAATGTACTCATTACATTGAATGTAAAACAAGCTCTTAAAATAAAAAAATAATAAAAAATTTCAACTCTAGTTAATAACGTACATGCTGAGGTGTTTACTGGTGATAAGTAGTGATGCTTGCAACTTACTTGGAAATGCGTTAGAATAACGTAAGACAGCTTTATGAATGCAGAGGGATGGATAGACAGATAGGCAGATATGTGATAACATGTTTATTTAAATCATAAATAGTACCAGAGAACTCAAGTGCTATTTAGGAAATTATTTCTCTCAGAAAAAAAATGCCTTCAGAGTTCTAATTTGTAATGCTATTACTTCTCTTCTTACATGAATAGAAGGGTGGAACACTCAACTTTCTAGGTTTCCAATGATAGATCAGTTTTTAAGGTCTTCAAGAGAAGTCAAAGTCCAGAAGAAAAAGTGTTTAAGAGCAGTAAGGAAAGAAACCTGCAGAGATTGGAGAGAGGAAACTCTGCAAGTAGGCAGAAAGAAGCAATGTTCTGTTGGCTAACGCAGAATAGAATTAATTTCTTTGGTAGGCTAGAAACCACTGTAACAAAGGAAGCTAAGGGATGGTGAAGGGTGATGTCAAGGAACACAGAAAACAAAAATATACCAAGTTCTCAGGTAAGGGCAATGACAGATTTGGCAGAGGACTGAGTTTTTTCTATGTTAAAAGAGGGTGTGGGGCCAGTGCAGAATGTAAGGATTCTATTTCCTGTGGTGTGTATCAGAGCAGGAGAAGCAAGCAGACATGAAATATAGTAAGGCAGGGGTTTAACCAAGGTGTTAAGAGGACAGAGAAAGTTCCTCAAATATACTGAGTAGAGGCCAAGTCTATGGCCACAATAGCCATTTCTCTTTATTCACAGAAAAAGTATCTGAAAGTTTGGGCTACCTAGGTACACAAAAATGTTTACATTTTCTTTTTCTGCTTGCTTACATTCTTTAGTTTTTAAAAACTGCTCCATGACTTGCAATAGTCAATACGTATATGTATGTTGTTGTTGTTGTTGTTATGTGCCGTCGAGTCGGCCCCGACTCATAGCGACCCCTCCTTGGGTTTTCGAGGCAGTATCACTACGGAAGTAGGATTGCCCAACCTTCCTTCCGAGGAGTGGCCGGTGGGTTTGAACCGCCAGCCATCTGGTTAGCAGGCAAGTGACTTAGCCATTATGCTACCAGAGCTCCTACGTATATGTATACTGAACACAATATTAGCTGTTTCCTTATAACTATTACATATTTTCTTTACCTTATTTTAATTGTTTCATATGAATCCCTTTGGCATATAACAGCATATAACTTAAGACTAGATTAATATCTAAATTAGGCGCTGCAATAATAATTTAACATTTAAAAATAAAATCAAAATGTTCTTAGTGGATGATTAAGTAGCACAGGAAAACCTACCTGCCCAGGACCGGAATGTTGCTATGATTCCCATTTTACTGGCTAGAAACCGAGCTTCTCTGTCTTCTCTGTTACAAAGAGAGGGGCAAGGAAATCAAATGTTAAAATAAAAAATGAACCTTTTCCCAACACTGTATCAGAATAATAGCTATCATTAGTCAATGTTTAAATATTTACATGGGAAATTAAAGATATTTAAAAAAAATAAAACCCCAGATCTATCCCAAAGCAAATTACCTAAATATATGTCAACTCACAATTTAAAACTGACAACACAGTTTAAAATAAGTTACAAATTCCTGTTTTGTTTTCAGTTCTATATTTCCCTGCTCTTTCTGAAAACTATTTTTAGATGGCTCATTAACACCTCTAATTGAGCAGTAGAGAGAACATTAGTTTGTGTAATCAACACCCATGTATCAAGGTTGACCCTGAGGAAAGAAAATTACGGCATAAATTTTATATATCTACCACATGCATTCTCTTTATTTAAAAATCTTAGCCCCAAACTTATTCTAGCATTCCCAACAAGCTAAAAAACCCACATGTGCACTGAAAATGTTATTAAATAACTAGATATGACTAATATCACTAGTCATTTTCATTCTTGACAACTACATATGCAATCATGTCACTTACTCCTTTCTGTGCAACAATTATGATGATTAATTAAACAACAGAGCTATTCATATTCATCAAACATTCTCTATGTGGGGCTATTGCTCAGTTTCAATATGTAATAGTAATCATACTACTAGTAGTATGATTAGTATTAGTAATAGTAATAGTACTCTCTACTCATGCCACCTCAACCAGCATATGTACCCCATTGAGTGTTAATTTCTTCCTGTGTTGTTTTTTTTTTCTCTAATAAAATTTTTAATGGTTGTTAGGAATACAGAAATATTAAAAATGGGAAACAAAAAAAGCAAAGAAGGGATAAAGAGACAAATTACACAGTAGTGAGCAATTAGACAATCCACAAAAGAGGAATGAAAAGCTAGTAAAGAAATCAGACTAAGTTAAACTAAGAGAAAACCAAACACCAAACCTAATGCCATCAAGCTGATTCTGACTCATAGCTACTTGCTACTCTATGGGACAGAGTAGAACTGCCTCATCTGATTTCCAAGGCTGTAATGTTTAAGGAAGCAGACTGTCAAATCTTTTTCCCATGGAGTGGTTGGTGGGTTTGAACTGTCACTCTTCCACTTAGTAGCTGAGGGCTTTAACCACTGTAAAACCAGGTTTTCTCTAAGGTTGTTCTTGTTGTTATGTGCTATCGAGTCAGACCCAACTCATAGTGACCCCTCCTGGGGTTTCCGAGGCAGTATCACTACAGAAGTAGATAGCCCAACCTTCCTTCCAAGGAGTGGCTGGTGGGTTTGAACCGCCAGCCTTCTGGTTTGCAGTCAAGTGCCTTAGGCACTATGCTACCAGAGCTCCCAAAGCTTGTAGCACCAGTCAAATTGAGAATGTAACAGAAAGTAAAATGGGAGAGGACAGAAAAAGTGAGAATTAAACACCTGTGTGATTAAGTTTTCAGTGCTCCTCCTCTTAAAAATGTTGTTGAGATAGGTTAATTGTGTAGTAATTCATTCTCTTATTACAAAAATTTGTAATATTTTAAAAAATCACTCCTTTCTCTATTGCCTGGTCATATTGCTATGTTGTTGTTGAGTCAGTTCTGATTCATAGCAACCCCATGGTACAACAGAACAAAACAGTGCCTGGTCCTATGTTTGAGCCCCCACTGTTTCAGTCACTATGTTGATCCATCTCGTTGAGAGTCCTCTCTTTTTCTACATTACTAACCACGATGTTCTTCTCCAGAGACTGGTAGGTCCCTCCTAATAATATGTTCAAAGGATGTGAAACAAAGTCTCATCATCCTACCATAAAGGAGCATTATGGCTGTACTTCTTCCAAGACAGCCTTGTTCATTCTTCTGGAAAGAAGAATGGTATATTCAGTATTTTTCGCCAGCACCATAATTCAGATGGATCAGCTCTTCTTTGATCTTCCTTGTTCATTGTCCATCTTTTGCATACATATGAGATGATTAACAAGACCAGGGTTTGGGTCAGGCACACTTTAGTCCTTAAGGTGACATCTCTGATTTCTAACACTTCTAAGAGATCTTTTTCAGCAAATCTGCCCGATACAATATATAGTCTGATTTCTTGACAGTTGCTTCCATTGACATTAATTATGGATCCAAGTAAAATGAAATCCTCAATAACTTCAATCTTTTCACCATTTTATTGTGTTGTTTTTTATTAGCCCAGTTGTGAGGATTTCTGTTTTGTTTATGATGTAGTATAATCCAAACTGAAGGCTATAATCTTTGATCTTCAACAGTAAGTAGTTCAAATCCTATTCACTTTCAGCAATCAAGGTTGTGCCTTCTGTATATCACATGCTGTTAATAAGTCTTCCTCCAATCCTGATGTCACAGTCTTCTTCATATAGTCCAGCTTCCTGGATATATTTGGTCAACATACAGATTGAATAAATATGGTGAAAGGATACAACCCTGATGCACACCCTTCCCGACTATAAATCATTCAGTATCCCCATGTTCTGTTAGAACATTGCTTCTTGGTCTATGTACAGATTCCACAAAGCACAATTAAGTGTTTCGGAATTCTCATTCTTTGCAATGTTATCCAGAATTTGTTATGATTCACCAAGTTGAATGCCTTTGTATAGTCAATAAAACATAGTAAACATCTTTCTGGTAATGTCTGCTTTCAGCCAAGATCCATCTAACATCAGCAATGATATTCCTCGTTTCACATCCTCTTCTGCATCTGGCTTGGACTTCTGGCAGTTCTCTGTCAATATACTGCTGCAACTGTTTTCGAATTATCTTTAGCAAAATTTTACTTGCATATGATATTGATGATACTGGTTGATATCTGCATTCTGTTGGACCACTTTTCAATGAAATGGGCATATAATATGACTCACTTATAGTTACTGGACCAGGTAGCTGTCTTCTATTTTTCTTGGCATAAAAGAGTGACCACTTCCATAGCTGCATGCATTTTACAGGCAGTCCCCAGGTTAGGAATGAGTTCTGTTCCTAAATCTGTCTTTAAGGTGAATTTGTATGCAACCCAGAACAGTCAGGTACCTAACCATATCTAACATCAGTCAGTCAAATGTTCTTAATAGAACATCATATAGTCTACCATTCTTAGTAGAATAGTATATAGTGTACCTTTATATGCATAAAAATATTTACAAACATAATAAAACATCTTTAACATAGTAAAATGTAAAGTAATAAAGTAATAATTTATTACTTAATAATAAAGTATTAATAATGTTTTGATGTACGTCATAGAACAGTGCCTGTTTGTTATTATGGACCATTGGATGTTGCCAGTGGCATAGGCGGGGAAGACTCCACTGCCCCCAGAAGCCAGTGGCTAGCCCATTCTTGGCCTTGTGTCTTCGTCTGTCGGCAGCAGCTGGGACTTCATCTCTCTCGTGTTCGGCACTCCCTCCCCACCATCCCTGGGAGGCTGGTGCCTGGCTTAGGCTGCACTGCACAGGACCAGGGATGAGGCCAAGATAAGGATGGGGACAGATTGGGTCCAAGGTAGCAGTTCTGCACCCAACTACAGACAATGCCAACATGGCATCTGCTCAGGCAGTGCAGACAGATCAAAGCTGGGTCCACGCAAGCAGCTTCCCGTCCAGCTCAGGGCCCTGCCAGCCCAAGATGAAACCGGTGCCAGCTGCTAGACTGCAGTGGAGGTGTCATGCTACTGCCTGCCCTGCATGTCCTGAGCACCACCAATTGCTTCTAGAGATCAGGTAGAGAGGGGTGTGACATGGGGTCTGGGCCCAGGCAGGTGCAGAGAGTGATGAGTCCAGGGCAAGACTGGATGCCAACTGGCCCCTTCTTGTGCACAGTCTCTGGGTTTGTACTCAAAGAAGGACATACTTCAGCTGATTCATAACTACAGATTGTATATAAGTAAGACATTTGTAACCTGGGGAATGCCTGTATTAGGGCATGATAATAAGTCCAAAGTGACAGATGTAACTGGTAATATGGGACCAATTAATAAAAATTAATTTTTATTCAGGATAAAATGAAACAACAAATACATACCCCTGATCCACAACATTCCAAAATTAGTGAGGAATTTTTAAAAATACACTATCTAAAGTAAATGACTGCAATCCAACAATCCAACTAAAAATCACCTCATGGCATATTTATTGGAACTACATCAATTGCAAAATCTTCAAATAGCACATTATTTGATCTCTGGATCATTTTAATTATAAATTGAAGAAGCTCTTTATTCTCTCTTATTATTTCATTCTTTTAGTCTTTCATATAGAAATAGAAAAATAATTAACAATCTAGGTTTCTACTGCAGCCTATCTTACCATTTTAAAAACTAAATTAATTCTAAACAATAAAAGTTCCCAAAGGTTATTTTTAATTTTTAAACCACAGTTAACTGTGTATTGAGCGCAACACCTAATTCCATGAAATAGGAAATCTATCTAAACTTACTTTTCTCTGGCTCTACATGTAGTCAGACAAATCTACCTTTAATGTCAGCACATACAATCCTTGAAAATTACTGGAAACAAATGGTACTTACTTGAGCTGTCCTTCAGCTGTATCTGGACTATGCCTGTAGTGAAAATCAGTATAGGGTGCTAATATTCGCTAACAAAAAAGAAAAAGAAGAAAAAGAGTCCTCGTTATAAAATGCATCCTTCTGATAATAACAATAAGCTAAAATTAATTCCATTTCTCCATATCTTTGAGTGTACTGCTTGAGAGACTTACTTCTTCAAACTCATGACAGAAAACTGGTTCAGTGATTTTTATAATGTACAAGAGATTTAAAACTTTTGAGATAAAACATATATATAAAACAGTACACAAATCGTAACTGTCAGTTTGATAAGATTTTCTCAAACTAAGCACCAGATGAATAAACATAATTAGCATCCTCAAAGCAATCTTATATCCACCCTCCTTGCAGTCACTAATTGCCCTAAGAGAACCTTACTTCTTAAGACTATAAATTTATTTTCATTGCTTTTGAAAATTAAACAATTTCATTTTGCTATTTCTGCAGATTAAACCTAGCTAAACTCACTCATTATTTTACAACTTTAACACCACTCTGTTTAACAAAATTCTCCTCTTGCCTGTTACATTATTGTGGTCATAAATGATCACTCTAATTTAAAACATATATTATTATTTTTACATTTGACAGTAACCTTTTATTTTTACTGACTTGTTTACTTCTTCTGGCACTTTTCATTTCTTCCTACGTTTCTCTGTCTCTGCCTGCTTTCCTTTAAAATGACAATTCACATTAGTCTTCTTTTTGAAAAAACAAATCAATGAACATTTGTTATCTGGCACAGTTTCTGTGAATCAAGAGCTTGGCTGTGTGGTTCTATATCAAGGTATATCATGAGGGTGTATTCAAAACATCAGTCTGAGCTACAATCATCTGAAGGCTTGACTGGAGGATCTGCTAACAAGATGGTTCACAAGGGCACAGCCTTGCCCTGGGATTAATGATTGATAAAAGCAATCAATTAAAAAAAAAAGTAGCTTTTCTTTTAATTCTCTTGGTCTTTCCTTTTTTATTTAGTCTTTAAAAATCTTTATTTTATCTTTCTTGTGGAAGGATATTTTCTCTAAGTTAGATTGGCAGTAATTTTCTTTTGTTCTTTAAAGATGTCTCTGGTTTCCATTATTTCTGTTGGGAAATCAGCTGTGAGATTTGCTCCATGGAAAGAAATGTCTTTTTCCCTGAGCCACTTTTAAAAAGACTTTTTTGTGTCTTAGTTTTCAACAATAATGATGTGCCTATTGTGGTGAAGTACCACAGAGTCAGTTCCAACTCATAGCTACCCTATGTATAAAAGAAACTGTCGACCCTGCACCATCCTCACAATTACGTTGGACCTCACTGTTGCAGCTACTGTGTCAATTCATCTCATTGAGGGTCTTCTTTTTCACCAACCCTCTACTTTACCAAGCATGATGTCCTTTTCCAGGGACTGATCCAAAGTACACGGGATTAAATCTTACCTTCCTTGCTACTAAGGAGCATTCTTACTGTACTTCTTTCAAGACAGATTTGTTCGCTTTCCCGGTACTCCAGGGAACATTCAATATGCTTCCCCAACAGCATAATTCAAATGTATTAATTCTTCAGTCTTCATTTTTCATTGTTCATCTTTTGCATACATATGAGGCAATTGAAAAGACCATGGCTTGGTCAGAAGAACCTAAGTACCCAAGGTAACATCTTTTCTTTTAACACTTTCAGATGTCTTGCAGCAAATGTGCCCAATGCAATATGTTAATTTCTTGACTGTTGCTTCTATGAATTTTAATTGTGGATCCAGGTAAAATGAAATCTTTGACAACTTCAATCTTTTCTCTGTTTATCATGATGCTGCTTATTGGTCCAACTGTGAGGATTTTTTTTTTTTTTTTTATGTTAAGTAATCTACAGTGAAGGCTGTAGTCTTTGCTCTTTATCAGTAAGTGTTTCATCAAGTCTTCACATTCCAAGGCTGTGTCATTTGCCTATCATAAGTTGTTAATGAGTCTTCCAATCCTGATACTGTGCTGTTCTTCATATAGTCCAGCTTAATGATTTCCTTAGGTGCTGTCTTCCTTGGATTATTTTTTGCTTTGGAATTTTCTGAGCTTTATGAACTTGAAATTTCATGAGTTTCAGATACAAAGTTTTGGCTCTTACCTCTTTATTATGTGCTTTCATTCATTTTCTTTCTCGTTTCCCAAAACTCTAATTACAAAGTATGTTTTGTCCTTTTTGCTCTGTTTTGCTTTCTTTTTATCCTCTGTGCTTCACTCTATGCTTCACCTTAGACAAGAAGAGATCATCAGTAGGCTACTGATCTCTTCTTGTCTAAGGTGAAGTCTTAATTTCATTGAGTTATGAATTTCGTATATTATTTTAATTTTGTGCTGGGTGTGCAAACTGACAAAGCAGATTTGTTTTACATCCAACAGTTCGTGATTTCACAGCCCCAATAACCAACCATAAAAAACTCTCCTTCCTGGGACCAACCACTCCCTGTGCCCTTCTTATCTATGCATCCCTATTCAGCTTTCCCTCTATGTGAATTCTGCCCATCTGGTGTCTCATGGCTGATTGATCTAAGGAGTGTATCTCCTTAAGGTAGGTGGGTGCATCTCCCAGGGGTAGGGTTCTGCATGTAGGTCTTTCTACCGCCGAGCCAATGGAAGCGAGCCCATTTCTAGGCCCAAAAGGTAACTTGGGGCCATAGTCTTGGGGGTTCTACCAGACTCTACTCAACCAATAATTCCAGTCATTTTTGTGCTTTTGAATTTTGTTCCATATTTTTCCTTCCACTCTATTCAGGATCTCCAATTTTGATCCCTTTCTGAGTGATTGGCATTGTTAGCCGGGCACCATCTAGTTCTTCTGGTCTCAGGGTCACAAATGCTGAGATCCTTGTGGTCCATGGTATCTCTGGTCTTACTGTTTCCAAATGACTTTGATTTTTTTCACTCTTCTTTGCTCCAGATGAGAGGTGACCAACAGTTGCATCTTAGGTGGCCACTCAAAAGCTTTTAAGACCTCATCACTACTCATCAAAGTAGGATGTAGAACAAGATTTTTATGTACTATATTGTGCCAATTGAGCATGACGTCCCCTGAGATTATGGTCCCAAGCCCATAGGCCTGGTGATTCTCTCTCCCAAGGTGTTTGGTTGTCTCTGAGAAGCTACTGCAACCCTCTCTTCTGTTACTTCTGTAATATATGTGGATAATTCTGTAGCACAAGTGCATATGTAAAATTATCTTAAACCAAATCTATCCTTGGTCTTGGGTATATTTCTGTTCACCTCCCCCCACCTGATCTTCTCAGCCATCTATGGATTTCCCTATAACCTAGTGTTTGCTGTCACGGGTAATGAAGTATTGTGCATGTAATAGTATTTGCTTCTGTTGTCTATATCTTTTGTGCACGTTTCTGTGTCCTCCCTTTCCCCACTGTCACCTTACTGGTCACAGACTCTTTCCATATTGCCCCTCTCCTTATCCAAATCAACATGTGACCCTCAACTAGTCTGAAATATTCCCTTCCTTTCCCTCCTATCACTTGCAACCAACAAAGTAAATTTCCTTCTCTGAGTAAACCTTTCCTTGACATTCTACAATAATGGACTCATACAATATTTGTCCTTCTCTTATTGACTTATTTCACTCAGCATAATGTCCTCCTAATTCATCCATGCTGTGAGATGATTCGTGTATTCTTCATTATTGTTCAATACTGCATAGTATTCCACTGTGTGAATCTATCATAGTTTGGTTACCCATTTATCTGCTGATGGGCAGTTAAGCTGTTTCCATCTCTTTGCTATAGTGAATTGTCCTGTGATGAACACAGGTGTGCATAAATCTATTTGTGTCCTATCTCTCACCTCTTTAGGGAATTTTCCTAGCAATGGAATTACTGGATCAAATGGTATTTCTATTTTCAGTTTTTTAAGGAAATGGCATACCATTTTCCACAGTAGCTATACCATTTTGCAGTCCCACCAGTAGTGTACGAGAGTTCCAATCTCTGCACCCTCACCAGCATTTGTTATTTTCTGTCTTCTTGAACTTTGCTATTGTTGCTGGAGTAAGATGATATCTTGTTGTTCTTTTGATTTGCATCTCTAATAACTAGTGATTGTTAGCATTTCCTCATGTGTTTGTTGGCCACCTGTGTATCTTTTTTAGTGGTGTATCTGCATATCCTTCATCTATTTTTTAATTGGATTGTTTGTCTTTTGGGTGTTGAAATGTTAAGTTTTCTATAAATTTTGGAGATAAACCCTTCTCAGATATGTCATAGCCAAATATTTTTTCCCAATCTGTTGTTGTTAAGTGCCGCCGAGTCGTTTCCGACTCATAGCGACCCCATGCACAGCAGAACGAAACACTGCCCGATCTCACGCCAGCCCCACAATCCCTGCTATACTTGAGCCCATCATTGCAGCCACTGTGCCAATCCATCTCGTCGAAGGCCTC